GAACCGTATATAGGAAGCATAGGAGAAGTTAAACAATATCCCGGAACTAGAGTAATCCAATACACAAGAACACCAAACTCAGACAAAGTTATAAAATCAGCAATTATACTATTTGACAACACCATTAACATAACACAATATCCAAACTTAACAACAGAAAATATAGCGGTAGTAAAATTAAGAACAAGATCATGGGAGATAGGAGTGATCTCGATATATCTGGAAGGAGATAAACCCATAGAACCCTACTTGGAAGGCATAAAGAGAGCAGTAGACAACATAGATACACAAAACATATTATTAGGAGGAGATGTTAATGCATGGAACACGTGGTGGGGAAGCCGGTTCACAAACAGTAGAGGTGAGGAAATGGCAGCACTACTGGACCAGTTGGAACTACAGCTCCTAAATACTGGATCTGAATCTACCTTTGACGCAGTCAGAGGAGACAAGAGATTCTCCAGCTGTGTGGACATAACAACATGCTCAACAACATTATTAGACAAAATAGATAACTGGCGCACCGACAGTAGCATAATAAATTCAGACCACAAAGCACTAACCTTCACAATCAACTTGGAAAAATCAATAGGAACAGACATCGAACGCACAACAAGAAAATACAACACAAGAAAAGCAAATTGGAACGAATTTAAAGAAAAATTAGAAGCAAAGAAAGAAAGAAAGAAAGAAAAGTTTTTATTATTATAGGTAACAGATTAAACCAAGAAACAATAACTAACATAATAAAATTGCACATAACTAAGAAATTAAATTAGACCTAAGTTACCATTTATGGTTAATTTGGATAATTTAGTGATGCCCACACTAGGCAATGCCTGTATCGTGGGCACCGATATTCAGATAGCTATATAATATTCAGTCCACAAAATTACAAAACCCACACTCACGACACTTTAGCATTTAACAATTCAGTTACTCCGGTATACATATAATAAAAACAAAATTTAAGTTAATGAAAAGAAGAAAAACTTAAGTTAAATATATAATATAAATGTGTATGTACGGCTATATAAATTGAAAAGAGATAAATATGTTAAAGGATCTAGGATTGTATCTTCAAAAGATTCTCAGTATCATTATAATTTAAAGTTAGCAGCCACTTCAGTAAGGTAGATTTGGCTTGTGGTAGGGATTTTTCTAACAAGTC